CAGGTCTATCTGTCTGTGTAACAGAATAAAGGATCCATTTGAAAAAAAACAAAAACAAAAAAAACCATTTCAATGCAAACAATATTTGAAAATCTGGATTATGCAGTCACTGATAGCTTAGAAGTAGACATGTCTACAATAATGTAATTCTTGACTATCCAATCTAAAAGGAAAAAAGGACACAAGAAATCTAGAGCTAATTATTCAAACTATTCATTGTTGCAATGATATAATATTTACATAAACTCATGCTAATAGCAGGCTAGACCCTAAAATGTAGCTGCAAACACAACTTTCTTAAACTTTTATGATTATAGGATTTTCATTTTCTTGCTCTTTTTTCTCTTGACTAAGATACTGATAGAAAATACTAGTAGCAAGAGGGAAAAAGAAGTAAAGCCCAGAAGATTCCACAAACAAAACAATTAACACTGAACAGATGATTACTGGATAAATTATTTATTCAAATTTTAAATATTTAATTAAACTTAATTCAGAAGACCTTTTGTCTGTCTTGGATTTCAGAAAATGTAACTGCTTCTTCAAAGTACTTTCCTCCAAACTTTATTTGAACACATATTATTCAAAGATTTACTGTTTTTTTGTGCCAATGAGGGGGAATCATTGAAAAACATTTCTTTATACAATTCAATTAAAATATATCTCAATTAAATAACTTTCTGCAATTCATATTTCCATCAATATTTCTTTTTTAAGATATAATTCCCCATAAAAATTAAATATCTCAAATATTACATCTGTCATAAAGCTATGGAACTGTTTTATTGGGTAATATTTTCACCTTAAATATACAAAAACAGTAAAAGTACCAAGACATACATTGTAGTTTCATAATACCCTCCTCCCAAAAATCACATTTATGGATTGTACTGAAAAGTGTATTGTCACTTGTTTGGAAACAAGTGACAGCATTTTCAGTTTTCAGTGACTGGCCCTAGGGGGCAGGGTTAGGGATCTGCCACATATCCAGGAATGGTCCCATGTCCCCCCAAACTTTCAACTGTCCTTCTGTTCATTCCTTTCATCTCAACCGTTGGTGTGACTGTCTGAGCCTAGACTAACAGTAAATTCTTTTCACATTTCAGTTTTTTAAATATATTTTACTGATTATGCTATTACAGTTGTCCCATTGTTTTCTCCCCTTTATTCCCTTCTGTCCCGCACACCCCCTCTCACCAGCATTCCCCCCAACCTTAGTTCATGTCCATAGGTCATACATATAAGTTATTTGGCTTCTATATTTCCTATACTATTCTCAACCTCCTCCTATTTATTTGGTATCTACAATTAATGCTTCTTATTCCCTGTACCTTTTCCCCCATGATCTCCCTTCCCACTCCCTGGTGATAACCCTCCATGCGATCTCCATTCTTGTGATTTTGTTCCTATTCTAGTTGTTTGCTTAGATTGTTTTTGTTTTTACGTTCAGTTGTTGATAGTTGTGAATTTGTCATTTTATTGTTCATATATTTGATCTTTTTCTTAGATAAGTCCCTTTAACATTTCCTAGAATAAGGGCTTGGTGATAATTAACTCCTTTAACTTGACTTTATCTGGGAAGCACTTTATCTGCCCTTCCATTCTAAGTGATAGCTTTGCTGGATATTGTAATCTTGGATGGAGGACCTTGCCTGACATGACTTGGAATACTTCTTTCTAGGCCCTTCTTGCCTTCAAGGTTTCTTTTGGGAAATCAGTGGATAGTCTTATGGGAACTCCTTTGTAGGTAACTGTCCCTTTTCTCTTGCTGCTTTTAAGATTCATCTTTAATCTTGGGTAACTTAATTATGATGTGCCTTGGTATGTGCTTCCTTGGGTTCAACTTCATTTGGGACTTTTTAAGCTTCCTGGATTTCCTGGAAGTCTATTTCCTTTACCAGACTTAGGGAAGTTCTCCTTAGTTATGTTTTCAAATTCGTTTTCAAATTCTTGCTGTTCCTCTTCTCCTTCTGGCACCACTATGATTCAGATATTGGAATATTTAAAGTTGTCCCAGAGTTTCCTAAGCCTCTCCTCATTTTTTTTTTTGAATTCTTGTTTCTTCATTCTGTTCTGGTTGAATGTTTATTTCTTCTTTCTGTTCCAAATTATTGATTTGAGTCCTGGTTTCCTTTGCTTCACCGTGGCTTCCCTACATATATATATATATTTTTAGTTTCACTTTGTATAGCTTTCACTTCTCCCTTTATTTTGCAGCTGTACTCAGTCTGAGCATCCTGATTACCAGTGTTTTAAACTGTTCATCTGACAGGTTGGTTACCTCTTCATTACTTAGTTCTATTTTTGGAGATTCGATCTGTTTTTTCATTTGGCCATATTTCTTTGTCTTAGTGCACCTATTACATAGAAAGGGGCGGAGCTTTAGGTATTTGCCAGGGTGGGGCAACTCACTTCACTGCATTATGGTGCCTTATGTGGGGGAGGCATGAGAAATAAAACAATGCCACTTGCTCAGCTCTCAGTCAGTTCCTCCACTACCAACAAGCAAATTGGGTCCTTCTGGTGCTGATTCGTGGGTGGGTGGGCTTGTGTACATTCTAGGATCATGTGAGTGTCTCTAATGAACTCTCTTGTGAGGCAGGGAGTTTCTTCTATGCCGCAATTCCCACAGATTTTTACAACAGAGGTTCTGAAGCTTTCTTTTCCCCATGCTGGAACCCTGTGTTGCACAGTTTGTCTCCCTCCCCAGTTGTTCCTCCTGGTTTATCCACCTGAGAATATGAGACTGCCCACACTGCCAGCTGCCACCATCCTCTCTTCCCAGCCCACCTGTCTCCTCCCCTCTTACCGGTGTTGATGAATCGTTCTTCTTTAACTTCTTCATTGCCAGACTTCCATACAGTACAATTTTCTGGCAGCTGTGGTTGTTTTCTGTTTTTAATTTTGTTGTTGTCCTTCTTTTGGTTGTGTGAGGACACAAAGTATATCTATGTATGCCTCCATCTTGGCCAGAAGTTCTACATATTTCAGTTTTAACAAACACTGAATTTTGGGATTCAGGGATTCACTGAATTCCAGGGATTCAAACCTCATGCAAATATGCACTTTGGTTCTGGAATTTTACCAAGACCCATACCCATTTCAGAAAAATCATTTCACCCCCCCATTAAAAATCTGCTCACTGTACCTGAGTTGACAATATGGCACACCTGGGTCAGAATTCTTTTGCAAAGATAACAATTCATGGCAATACTATGAATAGGTACAAATAGCCACCTACTTTATTCTGTCTTCCAGTAGAGTCATAACCAAGCTCTCACATATTACAATATACAACATTTTGATATAAACTTATTTCCTGTTACTTTATATCATAATTAGGACAATGTATTGGTTATTTTTAATATAACCTACATATACATGCAATTATCCATAAATTTCATTGTGGGATAGCAAGAGTAATACAAAGTATTTTAATGAAATGAAACAGTAGGCCTGAGAGGGATGCAGAACACTGACCTAAATATCACGTAAGGCTCGTTGCATCTCCAACATCCCTCATTCTGTGAAGAACTTTCAGTTTGTTAAGCTCTGATCATTAGTAAAGATTTACCTCTACTTTCACATATGAAAATACTGCAATGAAGTTAAAAAGAAAAAGACATGTGGTTGCTGAAAAATTTGGGTGAGCAGTGGGAAATGCCATGTACCATAATGATGATGACTTTTACAGTTAATAGAGAGGGATACGAACATACCTAAGGGAGAACAGGAGCCTTCACCTCTGTATGGTCTCAAGAGACTACACTACTGACCTCACAGGTGATGTGCTCCAGCCTTTCCTTGGACCAAGGGTCAAACATTTTAGTGATATACTGCCTTAGCAATTATTCCATAAAGTTCCTTCAAGAAAATATACACTGGTAAGCAATGCAAATGCTCCAAATGTGGAGCAGGATGAAAACCTCTCACAACCAAACTGCAAAGTCTACTTGGCAAAGCTTGTTATTCAAAAAAGCAACACCTTCAAGGAAATACTGGTTTAGTTATACTGATATAACTTAGACTCCCATTTTTCTGAGGCAATCATTCTCTGTCATCAGACTGAGGAATAATCAATATCCCCATTGTATTAATTTTCAGTTTGTAAAAAGGTACAAAAGTCATTATTCAGGAACTGTACCACCCCTTGCCCACATAAATGGATTCTTAGCACATCTACTTTCTCCATTATGTCTGACCACCCATTATTATTACCTCTTTCCCCCACCCTTTTAGTGCCCATTGAAGGCAACAAGTGTTTGACATTCCACAGACTTGCATATGTTAAAATAAACCCCCTAAAACAAAGTGTGAGGAACTACTCCCTGGTGAAAACAGATATCCATACTTCATGTATAATAAATGTCTTGGCCAAATGACTTACATTTGGCTCACAAGCCAAAATAAGCAAAAGACTGGGAACAACTGATTAGAAAATTGTGCATTAATAAAGTTTAACAGCATTTTATTTTTTAAAAAACTGTATTGAGGTATTTAAGTAATATATTAGAAGGTAATTCTTCACAAATTATGAAAATTCAAAATGACTATAAGATCAGATGAAAAAGTAATACTTGAAGCTATATAAACATTTATTTTTTTATCTTTTCTAAGTTTCTTATAATAAGAAGTAACAATTTATATAGAAAGAAAAAACCTCTATTGTCAGCAATATCTTTTATAAGTACTAATTCTTTCAATTTTTCTTCACTGACCACACATATCAATTTGCTGAAAACTACATCATTAACCAAATAAACTCATGAAACTTAAAACGATTTGGGAACAAAAAGCACTTAATTCTTAAGTTTCCCATATAGTCCGTATTTGGGTTTATAATGATTGTGGGTTGATGTCTGGGATAAAGGACACATTTTAACATGATGAAACATTTTAAATCTAAATGATGGAAAAATTAAGGAAAAGAAGCATCCCCACTGGCCCCTCTGACAAAAGAAATGACATAGTGATGGGACTCAGCCCTGGAAAGCTCTTACCCGCAGGGCTTCGATGACCAGGTCTCTGGCCTCCAGCTCCCCTTCCATCACACTGAGGAGCATCCGGAGCTCAGATTTACTGAGGGTGTCCACATCAAACTCTTTTTTCTGTAACACAAATTTTTAAAAAGCCATGAAAAAGCTATTTCTAGGAACAAGACACATGTCTATGTATGCAGCCCCTTTAGAAGGACTATGCTCTTTACTTTGTACCTGTCCCTCCATCCCCCCCAAGACACAGACATACAGACACACACTCAGAGCAGGTATGCAATGTATCATCTTTGCTCCAGTGGTTCAGTAAATCCAAGAACACAAGGGCCCTGCTTGGCAGCAATCTGCCCTGACCTTGAAAAAGGAGGGGTAAAAACCACAATGCCAATGTCTTACATCTCTCCATTAGGCAGACCTATTTTCCCAACCTGCCTGGACATCTAGATACAGAATCTCTTCAAATTGTGACATCAATTGAAAAGTACTTAGAATCTGCATCAAAATAGGCCCAGAGTACTTGAGGAAAAGTTGGGAGGGTAGCCAAGAAAGCATAGAAAGTATTCCTAGAATGGCCCCCAGGTAAAGGCTCCTGAAAGGTTGTTATAAATTCCAGAACATCTAATAATAACAGGTCATGTTTTTATAACACTCTGCAGTGGAGGCTACCAGCTGGCAGCCTATAGCCAAACCTAGCCCACAATATGTGTTAGTTGGACCACAAAGTGTTTTGATTTTTTTTAATTCAGTCAGCATTAAAAAACCTTAAGATGTCACCAAAAAATCCAGATCTCTGTCTTGTCTTCAAATTCAGATGACTGGGAAACCCCAGATGCACATTCTCATGGGGTAATATGCAGAGCCAAGTAGCAACAGCCCCTTTAGAAGGAACATGCTCTTCACTTCGAGGCACACACACACACACACACACACACACACACACATACATAGCCAGCATATGCACTTTTGAGAGGCCTGGCCCACTACCCACATTTCATTTTCTCGGCCTATGGTAAGGTGAATTTGGGACCCCTGCTATGTGGTTATCAAATGCTTACTGATACAATGCTTCTGTAGCTTCTTGCTATTCCAAAGGCAGCTGGGGCTAGAATAAACGAGCCTCCCAGAGACCCAGCTAACCACGAGGCATCGGCTCCAGGGCCTTGGGGGTCATAATCCTCACCCATCACTCTTCCAGCCCTGCTGTCTTCTCTGCATTGTATTTCTCCTTTGGGGACTGCTTCCAATATCACCACTTTAAATTCCACTGACCTACCACTGAGTCCCAATTCTTTTGTCTCCAACTCTGCCCACTATCCTCACAGCAAGTTTTGTGAGCAAGTCTTAGGGCAGTCATGTTCCAGGTGAAGCTGAGAGGGTCAGTGTGATAACTCTGCCTGGAAGTTTTCCACAGTCTCAGCTCCCTCCACAGCATGTGTTTTGCTGAGTTCTTCTGGGGAGAGACTCATCTGATAAGCCCAGTCACCATCAAAGGGCAGGGAACACACATTCATCCCCAAATGTCCCAAAATAGCCAACCTCAGAAGCCAAACCTTGGGACATCCCAAAATATCTCTTCACACTTGCATAGCACTCAATGGTTTATAAAGTATTCTCAAAAACCAAATCTAATCGGGAAGATATCATCATGTCTATGTTTCAGCTGAGAAAACCACAACTCAGAGAAGTTGGATAATGTGCCCAGACCTTGCAACCAAAAAATGGCAGCCCTACAACTAAGTGCTTGACTTGTCTACACACTTTATCAGTGCAAACATTCTACAGAAGAAAAGAGTGCCATTCTCCATTATAAACAAGTCAATAAACAACAATACTGGCAAGGTTGTGGAGAAAACGGAACCCTAGCGCACTGTTGGTGGAAATGCATTTCTGTGGAAAATGCAGCCACTGTGGAAAAAGAGCATGAAATTTCCTCAAAAAACTAAAGATGGAACTGCTTTTTGACTCAGCAATTCAACTGCTGGGATTATACCTTGAGAATCCTGACATACCAAATGAAAAGAATCTGTGCACCCCTATGTTCATAGCAGCACAATTTACAATACCCAAGTGCTAGAAAGAGCCTAAGTGCCCATCAATAAATGAGTGGATCAATAACTGTGAGTACACTGCAGCAGAAAGAAAGAAGGAACTCCTACCCTTCACAACAGCACGGATGGAACTGGACAGCATTATGCTAAGTGAAACAAGCCAGGAAGTAAAAGACAAATACCATATGATCTTGCCTGTAAGTGGAACCTAATCAACAAAACGAAGCAAACAAAATAGAGCCAGAGATGCTGAAATACACAAACTGACGGGGGGTGGGGGGGGGGGGGGGAGATAATGGGGAAAGTAGGGAAAGGGTCAAATCAAGGAACCTATATAAAGGATGCATGGACAAAGACAACAGTAAGGAGGATTAAATGTGGGAGGTGGGGGTGGGTAGGGCAGGGGAGAGTAATAGGGGGAAAATGGGGAGAACTATAAATGAACAAAAAAAATTACACGGACAAAAAACATAAAAATAAAAATAGTGCCATTCTATCAATCGGCTAATGAGAAGTAGGTTAGCGCCTATGTAACTAACCCCACACTACCCCTTTGACACAGAAATAAACATGAGAAATTCGTAAATGATTACAGAGGCTTTCAAATAGGCATTGACCAGAAACTGGTCACTTCTCAGTTTCAAAGGAAACTTCTAAAAGGATATAAAAATAGTATAAAGAGGAAAGAGACCAGAGGTCATGGTCCTTGAAATATTTTAAAAGGATCTTCCTCTTAAAATTGTTTCTTTTTGCACATACATTAGACAGGGCAGTTGTTTGGAAAGGCAGGGGCTAAATTTAAAAGAAGAAATGAAAAAGCTGTAGCAAGCCAAACCATGGGTAGCTCCAAGAGGCTTAAAAGTTTAACTTAGAGACATTCCTTGTGACTAGTAAAATCCAACATAATAGGGCTCAAATCTGCTATACAGTGGTTTCACATAGGTCTTATAACCCAAATGTTCTCAAATTCAGACACAGAGAACAATCACCTGGTGATCTTGTTAATAAAGACTGCATGGGCTCCACAACTGGAGTTTCTGGTTGAGCTATGTGAGAGGTAGGACCCTGAAACTGCCTTTCTAATAGGCTCCTGCTGCTGCTGCTGCTGCTGGTCCAAGGACTGCACTTGGAGAACCATTTTTGCAACTTACCCTAGTAAGTTTTCTCATATACAAAACTTAACATCTATCCTACAAAGTTCTCATTTATGAGGATTTAAAAAAACATTAAGTGCTAAATGTGATTGTTACCAATTAAGGCAGGTGATTGTTATTAAACCTGAAGTATTTTACGTAGGGAGGAGTGAGATATTAGCTACAAGCCTAATTCTTTGAAAAATCTACTAGCCCAAATCCAATAAACTCAGTTTATTTACCATGACAAAAGACACACTTTTATCCTTTTTTCTACTAAGATGAGAGAATAAGTTGTAATTCTTATGTGCTTTACAGCAGTGATTTTCAACCAGTGTGCCACAAGAATTTTTAGAACATGCAATACCTATTTAGTTAGGGGCACTGACCTCTTTTCCCTTAGACTGTCACATTTAAAAAATGACAACAGCCAATACAATAGTTGTCCAATGTAAATGAGTCAAAATTATACCTATTTGTTTTTATCACATCAGCAAATAATTTTTTTGGTGTGTCGCAGAATTTTAGTAATTAGTTTATGTGCACAATGAGATGAAAAATGTTGAAAATCACCACTTTAGTGGGTATTTTTTTAAATCTGCTGCTAGTTGTTCTAAAGGTTTTTATTAATTGTATATTTTATTGTCTTTTTTTTCTCCAAAGCTTCATAAGTAAAGCACTCCATTTTAAAAACTAAAACATTATGAAAGACATTGCCAAGATTCTTATTCACATTAAGAGTTAGGAGAGCTTGCCCTGATTCCATCATCACATGCAGCATGTGACCTGCAACCAACACTTGTTTTTCAATATATCAGTAAAAAGGGAAGTTCATTAAAATAAAAACATAGTTTCAACGGTTCTTGCTAAACCATAGATTGTTACACAGTGTTTAAAAAAATCTGTCTCTCATCACAATATATAGTGGTAGCCAAAACATTTGTTTTTTTCCATAAGATGTCTCTAGTAGCACTTAGTTGTCTTTATAACTTCATTCAAAACAATTTTGTTAGACTGTACTGTGAAAACTGTAATATCAGCATGCATTGAAAAAAAATCTTATCAAAATTGGTGAATGTGTAGCCATTTTAATATTGAAGATGGAAGAAAATAAGCAACATTTTTGGCATGTTATATATTATTTCAAGAAAGATAAAAACAAAATTAAAACACAAATCAGATTTGTGCAGTATATGGAGAAGATGCTGTGATTGATCAAACGTGTCAAAAGTGGTTAACGAAGTTTTGCACTGGAGATTTCTCCCTGAACAATTCTCCACGGTCGGATAGATCAGTTGAAGTTGACAGCAATCAAATTAAGACATTAACTGAGAACAATCAACGTTATATCACATGTTAGATAGCAGACATACTCAAAATATCCAAATCAACTGTTATTGGTGAAAATGAAAAATGTGCTTCTTATTTTATAGAAAAAAATCCATACAGACTCTTTGGCTAGCCCCAATGTTAAGTGATGTGTTATTTTTACAAAAAAAATATACTACTTCCTGGCCTACAATAATAAAAATATTATAAAAATTTCAAATTGTCAAATTTAATTTTCAAATTTAAAATTTCAAAAATTTCAAACTCCAATGCTTGAAGTTTCCATCCCCTATTCTGTCAAAACAGAGTAAATGAAAGCACATGAAAACATCACAGGGCATAAGGCTTTGGTTATTTTACAAATAAATTCAAAGCATTTTGGTATTTTTAGAAAAAGAAAGATGCTTAAAAACAAAAGTCCAAATAAAAAATGTTATTGTTTCATAAGAAGTGACATTTATCTAATCTAACACACATATGGCACAAAAGTACTTAGATATAGAAAAAGTAATGAAATTTTCTTGGTTAATAAACAAAACAATTATTCTAAATCTTATACTATTTTAAAATCACTTTGTTGAGGTATGAATGACATACAAAATGT